CACAATGTGAATTCCTGCTCAAACTCTGACCAGAATAGAGTTCCTCCACCTAGGAAACACTGCAGTGGGAAGGATCATCATCATTCAATGATGCTCTTCCTCGGCTAATCTCCCAGAATATATTGTAGCTTTAAGAGGAGATTCCAGGAGCCAATTTCACTTCCATATCACTGTGCACAGCACTTGTTATTTTGTTCTTCACACCAACCAGAGCAGCCATTCAGTTAACCATGGAAACAGGAAGTCATCAGCAAGAATCAAGGCACTAAAATAAACTCAGACAACTGATTTCATCACCTCAGCAGTCACGCAACTGAGCTGTCACTGCACAATCACCATCAACGAAATATGAAAAGAGGGGAAATGATCCAACAGTTCAGTGATTACGCAACTGTGGATTCATAACAAGATATCTGAGAGAGCTGCATCGGCACTGATCTCATGCATTAAAAGGCTTTGCCCGAGAAAAGTAGATGAGAACGGAGTGAAACATTCTACGTACTTTCAATAGAACTTACAGACATCTCAAAGTGCATCATTTCCTTTGAGTTTCATAAGTGGTGCAATTTTGAGCCTTAGCTCTCGTGCCATGGACTCAATGTTAAGTTCATTTAGTTTTGCTTTGGCTGACAGATGTGATTCTGGAACACAAAATGGAGAACAGAATCCCTTCCCTGCTGAAGGAGCATTTTTGCATTCCAATGTCCAAATTCTTGCTTACAGATTTGACCTCTCCTTCCCCCTCTCCTCACCCCCCCCCTCCCCCATCACACATTATAGTTATCAACCCGGCTCAGTTGGTTGCATTCTTGCCGCTGAGTAAGGTTATATCAGGACTTCGAACCCATATTGTCTACGCTCACGTTCTAATGCAATGCTGGAGTGTGCTCCATTGTCGAAGGTACCACCCTTAATACTAATAATCCTTGCATTTGAGATAACATTGTATCACGTCTTCGAGTTGGCTTAAAGCATTCGTATACAAATACTGCACATAGCTTTGGGACGTTCTCCAAATGTGAAAAGATGCTATACCAAATGTAAGGATTATTATTATTATAATACATCTGGTGACCCCCAGACTAAACTACATGCAGAGTTGCTGCTTACACCAGCTTCCTACAAAAATAGAACGTTTTGGAGTAAGAGGCCAAAGAAAATGTTTTCAACACAGTTACTGAAACAGGTCAGGCCTGGCCAAAGAACTAATGAAAGCACCAGCCACTTCAAAAAAAATGTCACTTTCAACAGATCATTCATTAGCAAATACATAAAATACCACAGTTATGACAAAGAGTCTCATGGAAAACGTGAGCCTAGCTTTCTCTTTCAGATGCTGATTGACCTGCTGTACAGATTCCATATTTGTTTACAGCAATCATCCTGCCCTGCTTCCCAGTTGATCCCAATGTGAAATGTTTCCAAAATGGGTGTAGCCTTTTCCCCTCTCCTTGGACCAACAACGAATTTCCCATGTACACATCAATCACTATCAGTCAAACATCGGGCTGGCTCCAACCTTCAGTTGTCAGTATAAATGAGGCATCTGTCAGACCCCTGACCCTTGATGTACAGTTGGCCTAAAGATATTGTGACAGGATCAACTCATGAATAATACAATTCTAGCCTTGTAGTTTACATTTCTATACAACATATTCCTCACTTCATTGCAGACAGCTAGCTGTCTGTATGACGGATTTGCCTCTTTCCAAACAAATACATCAGTTCCATACAGTAGACAGCAGTCTGTCAGTTAACACTGAAAAGTTCTTTTGACATGAAGGCGACGAGATTCTAATTACATTGTTTTGTGGTGAATCCTTCTATATTTCACCATTGGCGGGCGGGCCTTCTGCCACTCTGCCCTCATCCTCTGGAACTCCATTCCGCAATCCCTTCACCTCGCCCCTTCCCTTGCCTCCTTAAAGACCCATCTCAATACCCTTCTCTTCCACTGTGCCTTCAATCACCCTCCTTCCCCCCCTTGCTCTTTGCCCTCCCCCATTCCGACTCCCAGCTCAGGTCCAAAAAACTGATTGCCCAGCGCTTTGGGACATCCTCCCAACATGAAAGGTGCTATACAAATGTAATTTTGTTATTGTTGTTTCTGAACACAGAATGCAGAAGATAATTAGATTCCATTTAACCCATCCCATTTTCTAGAATATCATCGCTGATTCTCTCTTGCATATACCTCCAATTTTCACCACCACATATAGGTATTTCTTAAAATTATCAATAGTACTTGCCATTGTGGCAATCTGTTCTACATATTCACCACACTCTGCATAAAGTAGTTAAATTTGGTTACGTAACAAATGTTCTGCCCAACAGTCTCCAGAAAGAATTTGGTCAACCATGCATGTTTATTTGTGGACATCCATTCGTGTCTGTGTGCAAATTGGCTGCCAGTTTACCTACATACACATAATCATTGCACTTTAGACTAAATTTCCTGTGAAATGTTTTGAGATGTTTCAACAATATGACAAGACTATCAAATCAAGGATTATTACTATCTAAAATAGTCTGTTTCCACTCGATGCAAAGTCATAACCATGAAACACAAATATAAGATAGCGGTGAGGGGATCTAAACGATAATTTGGGAGGAATTACTTCACACAGAGGGTGGTTAGATTGTGGAACTTGCTGCCTGAAGCGGTGGTTGATAGTATAGATGCATTTAAGAGGAAGCTAGACCTTCACATTAGGGAGAGGAAGATAGAAGGGTGTGGGAGGGAGTCAAGGAATGGGTGGAGACGTGTGGAGTATAAATATCTAGATTGATGGGCTGAATGGCCTGTTTCCATGCTGTACCTTCTTTGGAATACTGTCTTTGTAAAATGTCCCTCCCTGTGCACTTCACTAGCAAGAGATTATAGGATCAGTTAAAAAAAAACAGATGCTTACTGCACAAGTAAATCTGCTGTGCTCTGTGCTGAGCTGCAGCAGCTATCAGAGGTCACCTTTGGAGATGGATAAAGTACCGTTTGCTATCACATCATTCCAATCTGACACACTTTACTAAACCCAGTCTGCTTTCTGTGCAAATCCTTGCTTAGGGAACATTGACAGTTCTGCTGATGAAGGAGTGATACTGTAACAACACACCAGAGCTCCAAACAACTGACAGAGCACATTAATCTGCCAAAGACAAACAACACATTTGTAAATGCAAGTTTTAAATCTTAATCCTGGTTTGGCCTTACTGGGCAATAAGGTACACCTGCTTAAAGGGGTACAGGCACCCAGGGAAAGAAAACACCACCAAAACATGCACTACTGTAGTCAGCCACAAAAACAATGACGCTTGGGGTTTAAAAGCCGGAAAACTACAACACGTATGTGCACCAGCAACCAAAGTAGTGATGAACCTTCGGTGAAGCTGTTCCCACCTTTTGCAGGACCTCAGATCATCCTAAACGTTTTCCACTATGATAGAGCTATCTCATACCTTTTATGAACCTTTTATAAATAAACAGTACAACTGAAATCAACCCTTACTGTAATCGCTTCTCAATTTTAGGCAGCAATGCTAAATAAACACAGACACATTATATGCTTCCCAAGCCCAGTATGCTAGCAGAGAAGTATTTCTTCATAAGCAAGCTTACGAAACTCTAAAACCACTCAGATAGGATTTGGAATCCAACACAAACAGAATTCAACCTTATCGCCCGTTACTGTGGTAACTGCTATGTTAAAAAGACATCAAATCAAAATACACTTCCCCAGCTACAATTATCCTAAATCCCACTACTCAAGTTTATTAATCCAATGTAAAAAAAACTCTACCCTTAAAATCAGGCACAATGCATCATAAGCTGCAGATTCACTGTGTGACTGAGGAATAATCTATCATTAGATCTCACTTTCAACCTGACTGGTTTGTAATGTACTAATACAACAACAACAACTTGGATTTACATAGCGCCCTCCACCCCGGACGGCTTTTCAGAGCGCTTTACAGTAATGGATCCCGGGACCGAGCCAGGGGGAGCGATGGAAGGTGACCAGAGGCGCAGTCGAAAAGAAAGGTCTTCAGCAGAGACCTGAAAATGGGAAGGGAGGGAGCGAGACGAAGGGAGTGAGGAAGGCAGTTCCAGAGCCTCGGGACACAGTGGCTGAAGGCACGGCCTCCAAGGGTGGAGCGGAGGACTCGGGGGACGAGGAGGAGGCCAGACCCGGGAATGAAGGCAACGGGTACTGTTTTGAGGAGAGAGGTCAGAGAGGTGGGGGGATGCAGAGGAGTGCAGGGACTTGAATACAGGGGTGAGGATCTTGAAATCGCTCCTCTCTGGGATAGGTAGTCAGTGTAGTCTGGCAAGGACTGGGGTGATCGGGGACAATAAGTAATTACAGCAAGCGAGTTGGGGGAATAGATGCAGTTAGTAGGTTACAACAAATCATACAATATAATAATAATAATCCTTGCATTTAATATAGCACCTTATCACGACCTTGAGACAAGTTAAGCATCAGTATCCCTCAGATACATATCATCTGATCCATTCAGCCTCTCCCTTGTCCCTGAAAAGTGATTTCCTCCCAGTGATCTTCACTTACACTCATCTAAATTCATCCCACAAATTCAAATTGAATGCTACTCATCTCATTATCTGTAGGGTGTTGGCACATGTGTCTCCAGAACTTTCACTTCATTTTTGATGAGTTTTATTCTGTAAAGTGCTTTGAAATGTTTCTTTTAACAACAACTTGGACTTATATAGCGCTCTCCACGCCGGACGGTGTCTCAGAGCACTTCACAGTAACAGGACCAAGCCAGGGGGAGGGGGAGGAAGGTGACCAAAGGCACGGTCGAAAAGAAAGGTCTTCAGAAGAGACGTGAAAAAAGGAAAATTTTAAATGAAAGGTGCTGTAAACTCTGAAGCTAAGCTGTTGTTATTTATGCCCAGCTATCATGTTAAAGCTCAGACACCCAGTGCACATGTTTTGAGGCGAGTCTCCCTCAGCTCCTCTCCAGACAGATTACATTACCTGCTTCCGCTAGCTCTGCACTTGGCTCTTCTTTGTGGCTCAGGATCCTTGAAAGCCGTCTCGAAACATTCGCAAAGAAGCCACGTATGAAATCCGTTCTCTGTTCTGCGTCCGAGTGCACTTGTCTCAGAGCTCGTTTCTCGACCTGCGAAGAGCAGCCTGGTTCAGAGATCGATCGGTTGTACGGTATCGGTGCCGGTTTAGCCACGGCTTCGCTGGGATGCTCTTCCAGGAGGTTCTCCGAATGTTGGTGATACATGGCAGCACCTGACTCTTCCTGCTCAGTTGAAGCCACATTCTGCTCTTCAGACAAAACTTTTTTACTAACTTTCCATGAAAGCCTGGAGGGGGAATGCCACTTGTAGGACCCCATAGGCCTGGCAGGCTCCGAGTTGGTTCGTTTGTACACTTTCCATTTGGACTTGGAAGGTCTGTGCCACTTGTATAAACTGACTGGGCTCCCAGAGCTGTGAGCTGGCTCAGACAGGGTCCTCCTGAATTCGGCCCGACGGGAGAACATTTGATTTTTAAACGTACTCATCTCTCAAACCTGGAGAAACTGTTGCTGAGTATGTACAGTCATTTAACCAAACATCACAGTCTGGAGTAAAAAACGGTTATGATATTGCGCTAGATGAGCAGACTGCAAGCGACTGTCACCACCACTTCCTGTCAAGCTGCTGCTTGACGTTGGAGATATATTAAAGAGAAGGGATGTTGGGTTTGAAATGTTTCAGACAACCACAGACTCTAGTTAGAGCCCCAGGACTGGGCTGTCAGTGTTTATCATAACCATAAAAAATTACCCCTAAACTTTGGACAAGCACCTAGTACAGAAATCTGAGCAGGCCCAGGAACAATAAAATTTCAGACACATGCTACCCAAGCTCTGAAAATATCACCTACTAAGTTAGAAACACACAGCGCTTAGAACAATCAGGGGAAAAGCAACATAGCAGAACGCCGTTTGTCACGATGCTAAATGTTTCTGAATTTGGATAATTAGTAGGTGTGCAGGCTGCTTGGTGACTTAACCGCCCAGAATATCTGTAACAGATCCGTTTCCCATTTGAGAAAAACACAAACATCCGATACAGCTCCTTCAGCAGTTTCTGTACATCAGAGAGAGAAATACTTTGGAAGTGAAATCTCACCCAGAAAAAAGTAACAGGCGCAGGTTGGCAAGAGCCAAGGTTTAGGGACCCTAGAGTTACATTGGGGTATAGCCGGAGTCTAACCAGCTAAAGCGACATAGCTCGCCATTGATCTCGTCAGGGAAGCTTTCCCATTGCTTGTCCAGCTAGGATCACCCTACCCGTTAATGCTTTGGCTTGCAGAGTTAACAGGAACTGAGTGGGATGACTCCCCGCCCTCAGCGACTGGTCTGCTCTTCCAAGTCCTTCCGATGAGCCAGGCTGTGCTGTCATCAGCAGTGCCCTGGTATACTGAGGACCTACCTAGTCAGGAACCGGACTATCGAGACCGCCACAGAGGGCTGGCTCGATTCCTACATTTCGCTGCCAAACATATCACCTTGGAGTCAGTTCAGCTCCAAGGAGAACCTGCTTAACTCCCCCGCCCCCAGCCCGGTTTTACCAGACAACATAATTGGACAGTAACACTGTGAAGAAAGGCAGCAAAGGGGGAGGGTGGTCATATCACATGTCATGTGTTTTGTTTGAATATTCAACTGAGCTCAGTTGGTAGCAATCTCGTCTCAGAAGATTGTGGGTTCATGTCCCACGTTGGAACTTGAGCTCAAAGTTTCTTGGCTGAAATCTTTAATGCAGTGGTAGGAGTGTGCTGCATTGTTAGAGATGCTGGCATTGCCCTTCCCTCTCCCCTCCTTAATGCAGGGAAGCTGGATGATATCTAATACCTGACAACCAACCCAGCCCAGACAGCTTGGCACAGACTAAGGATTGACCCTGGGTCTTTTCTGGACTGCAAAGATTAGTATCACACCATGCAACTTGTCTGCTCTCAAAGCCACTGGGAGCTAAGTGTACGAATTTAAACCAGGACTGTTTGAGAGTTTATTAGAAGCATATATGCAAAGCTAAACGTCCATTCAGAAACAGAGTAAATTATGCACAGTAACCAAATAAACGACACAAGCACATTATCACTGCAAATTTCCTGCTAAATAACAGCATCTTCCATCCTCCCCCTGGTGGACAGGAGACCCGAGTCAATAAGTGATACAAGCACTTCCCTGCAGCTGAAGTCCTGTTGTCACTTTCTTATTTCCAACAATTCCTCGTGGCAAGTTGTAGAGTGCCAAGCTCCCAGCAGCCTCACATGCTGGTCAGGGCTGGTTCCCCCCCAATACTGCACTGGAATGTCAGCCTAGACCGTGACCTCCAAGTCTCTAACTTGGGCTTACACCCACAGTCTTCTGACCCAGAGGTGAAAGGACTACCAGACACTTCAGTTCCCACTCACTACATGTTGGGGGGATTACAATGGAGATGGACGTCTTCTACGTTTTCTGGATTTGTCCAGCAGTTTATTCAAACCAGAAATCCAGTCAGAAGCCACAAGCCCACCACTGCATCTCAATCAATCAAAACTATTTGCAACATCTTCCCATGGACGAGTTAAACAAGACCTGGTGATAGCTTGGTGTCCAAATCCATTGACGACTCACGTCAACATTGGTGACACTCACCACCTGGACTGACACACAAAACAAGTACCAGAGCTCTCAACAGGTACTGATGAACTGTACCCCAACACAAGCCAGCGCCTTCCGAGGGGGTGTGTGGGATGTCAACTTACATGCAATCATTTGAAGATAAGTCAATAGGTATTTTTATGACAACAACAAAGAATCCAAGCAAATCAGTTCATGTGACTGCATAAGCATCTTCCTGAAATTACCACCATGTACAGTACCTGCAACCCTGTTGCCTTTTTATCACAGTAAAACTAACAATTCTACCTAAACAAGGCTTAAAATCTGCTTAAAGTGCATCAATAAAACTAAATTTCCCAGTACTCTAACCATAAAGTAATGAAATAGCTTCGTAGGTCTGTATTACTGCAGACTGAGGAGTGGATGTGAATACGGTGTATGAGAAAATGCCCTGGTGATATTTAGTGTTGTGCAGCTCAGAAACATCATACGTCTGTCCTGCCATCTCCAAGCTGTCGAGGTGTTGTTGAATGACTAGTGCTGGCACAAATTGCGCTAGGAGGCAACGGTTGAGATCTTCATGCTGTTTTCAATCTGTTTTCAGGACTGAATGTGAGTCCCCTATCAGAAATGGCGTTTGTTCTAGAATTTGTTTTAAAAATAAGAAATTTCTTCGTCCACCCCTGCCCCGCCCCCACACACAGAGGGGCAGAGAAATGAAGCAGCATGGCATGTGAATAGCCCAGAGTCATGTACACACAGAATGGTTTCTCCCTTCATTCCGTCAAAAAAAAATCACATGGTCTCCACTCCACACGATCCACTGTCAGACAGCAACGATCAGTACATGCCATGTGGGTGTTTCACACACTCGGCTTCTGTGTGTGTTACATTCCTTCAGACCACTAAAGGAATCACTCCATTCTTTAGTTTTAACCATTTCTCTGAAAGCTGCAGTCTCCCCCACCTCTCTCAGTTCACAGCAATACAAGCAGTTAGGTTAGAATAAAAAAAACAGAAGATTGGCTTTCCATTGTACAGATCACACACTCACACTCACTCTCTCTTTTTCCTTCCCCTTTCCTGTAATACTAAAATAGGTACTCTTGTTCTTGTTACTTGTTCTCTTTTCTCCCCCCTCAGCACTGACCTCTAATTATAGACTGACCTCCCTGCTGAACTGAAAGAGCATATCACTGGAACATCTTCTCAAACTGGGAGCAATCTTTGTTTTACCACAGCAAAGTTTGCTTCCGAAGTTCGAGATCTGATAGCAATGCTTCCCCCAACCACCATCTCTTAAACACCCCCACACCAACACAACAATCTTCTCCTCATTCCCACCTAATACCTGACCAGTGATTGGCAAACCTGCTTTTCATGGCAATAATAATCCTTCCATTTGATATAGTGCCTTAACAAGTCTTCGAGATGTCGCAAAGCGCTTTATAGAATATACTGTAAAGTGGATTGACTATATTTTGTGGGTGAAATGCGGCAGCCAATTGTGCATAGCAGTGTCCCAAAACAGTCGTGGACTGAGTGATTATTTTTTTATGAGGGGAATATTACCTCCAGAAAAGCAATCCGCCAATCCACTAATAACTGGGTTCTTACTTACTCCTCTAAGTAAACAAGGTATGTGCAGTAAGGAAACTTGCCAACGTTTTGTCCTGCCCATGAATCTCGCTTGTGAGGCAAATGCTCTAACCAATATATTACAGGACTGCAAAGTATAGCAAGAGTTCTGATCAAGCGTCGCACACATGAACCACTAGCCTACCTTTCAGCTGCCAACTGACCTGAATTTCCAATCCTGCTGTTTCTTTGGTGAATTTACTGCTGTTATTTTTGAAATATCAATGCAAACTGGGATTACAGCATTGTGTTTGATATTGTACTCCGCTCCTCCACACTCAACTCCCAGCTCCTATTCAGATCAACCTCCAGAAACTGCACCAAACCCAGTTGAAACAAATGTCAGGAGCAGAGGTTAAGAGTGAAGTTATTAATGGAATTTCTTTCCGCATTTGTTTTTTATTGAAGGAATAGAGATCAGAGGGAAACAAAGCAGCCCAGGGATATGGGTTCCTTTATTCTTTTATCACAGTTGCCATCTGTTTCCCAACTTGTATACTTCCTGTGACAGTGGCCTGTCTGACAAAAGCAGTGACTAAAAATACACCTGGCCATAGAGCGATGTAAAAACACTGAACACATACAGGAAGTGCTTCGAACAACATGGGAGTGATTTAGTTTTGGTGCCTTACACTCAACCTCATTTCTCATTGTCTCAGAGAGTGGACAGAGCATGTGGCCTTTAAGTTAAGCTTCCGATTGAGAGCTCGAACCGTGGCTTCAGACGGCGCTACCAATAAACTGCAGCAGCAAGACGTAAAGAACACAATACAGACTGAATAGCGTAGTCCCACTACACCACTTGTTTACTGTGAGCTGACTAAAAACTCACTCACACAAAACGCCCAGCACAAGACTGCCAGGAGCCATATCCTCCTCCTCCACAAGCACAAAGAGGAATGGAGAGGGGGGGGGGGAAACACTCTGGTAAGAGTCCCAAATTCCTTTGAACAGCTCTGGAAACCTCTTTGCCAAGAGGATTACTGGGGACCACATTACTTTGGTGCACAGGTGAGGATAATAATAATAAACCTTGCATTTGTTATCCCGTCGTCAAGACGATCTTGTGGTACAAAGTGCTGATTAATATCAGATTGTTGCTGAAACTCACTGCCACTGGCTCACATTTAGGATGCTGAAGCTCAATTAAAATTCTAAACAGAAAATGGATCCATTATGCCCCTACGTGAGACTCCTTACAAACAGCATCTTTTACAGCTGAAATGACATGCTTCAGTTCTTCAGCACAAACCCACAATTACAGTTGATAAAGACGGGTTGCCAGTTCGAGATCAAGCACATCTCTCTGTGTAACAAACTCACACAGAAGCTCTTGCTCTCTCTCTCTCTCAGC